CACTTTAAATAACCTAGTAATTGAGCTTGGCCCAATTTAACCGCCCTCCATATTAGGAGATAATATTACACATAGAGCTCATATGTATGAGAACTTTGTATATAATATTGTTGTACATTGTTGTATGATATATACAACAATATACAACAATATTGTGCATAAAATCCTTATGCATATGAGCTTAAAAAGACATTATATTCTACTTGAACTTATAAATTTTATAATAATAGATTATGCCTTCAATCATCATTTTAAGGATAAATGCGCTGCATTAGAGTTTGTTATCTCAATTTTTCACACACCGTCTTTCATTTCTACCTTTGAGCTTATTTTCTACTTCACATTAGCAGGTGATCATCATCTCGTACAAGTAGTTTAAGGAGCTGTTTGATATGATACTTTAAACAAAATTTGAGTTTGATCTAACTAAAATCCAACTAAATACCATAAATATGTTAGATAAATCCGTGGCTAAATTAAATTTAATTTTTTAATTGTACTGTTTATTAAATTTGAATTCACTAAATACATTTATTAGTTGGATTTAACAGATAAAGAACATTAAAACAGTATTTCAAATCAATTTATATCTGACACCTCAAATAAATTTAACTGAATTTAATTAAACTAAATATTTTTTTAAATCTAAGAATATTTGAAATTAATGAATATGGATTTATGGAATTTACTAAATTCAATTCAAGTGAAATCATTCTTCCAGCCAGAACAGCCCACTAAAATCGAAGGAATGGTATCCTTCGTGAGAACCTTAACCACCGCCTCTCTAGTCCCTGCCGCCCTCGCCGTCGCCGCCTACTCCCATTCCACTATTTTCACCTCTCCTCGCTTCTCCTTCAAGTTTGATCCCCCTCTCCCCACTTCCTTACTTTCAGCTTCTGCTCCGAGACCATTAGTCGCCGGCTCGAATCAGTTCCGTCCTATCGCCGCTCTGCATATGGAATCCGTTGCGGTCGATGTCAAGCACCCCGATGAGGTTCTTTCTCTTTATTATCTTGTGTTGGTGTTGAGATTATCAGTTTCTTTTTTCTTAGTGGAGCTTTTCCTCTTATCGGATGGTCTCTTCTTCTCTGCAGCAAACCAGGGTTCTACCTGAGCTTATGGTGAGTTTATTTTGCCTTTATGATTTCCTACCCGATTAATTGGTTATTGTGTCTTGTAATTGCAAGATATTTTTGGGGATCTAATTCCCGTTAGAAATTTGCGGGATCCCATCTTTTGTTTGAGGGTGATTGTGACTGTTGTATAGATGAATTTTAGGTTAGTGGTAATTGGATTGAAGCTTTAATATGACGTTATCTTCTAATATGGAAATTTGCGCACGCGTTTAACTCATCGCTTTGTTGATGATTTTACTGGATTGAAGTTTAAACGTGCTACTAGATTGCAAGAGAGCTGCAATCAATTAACATTTTTTTGCTTGCACATCATGTCCATCCAAAGCTTCTTTCCCATAATATTTCAAATAGATTGGTTGTTGACATATTTGTCCTGTTGACTTCACATAAACTTGACATTTGTCTGATTGTTTAGTGCACGAATTTGTTGTTAAATCTAGCCTAGCAGCTTAAAATTTTGAATCACATCATTATTTGGTTTTCTAACACATTATTCTACCTTTAATGACTGAAATCCTTCAGCTCAGACATAGCAGTTTTACAGGTTTTGTTGACTGTTGGTAGATGCATTTTATGTTAGTGTAAGAGAAGGAGACATTTTGGCATTATGTCAGCATATGCTTGGGAATGGTGCTAATTTTTAACTGATATCTTTGTTATTATGCTGAATTGATGCATAGAAGCTGCTCAACTTTATAAAATACATTAGTATCTTTCATTTGAGATCCTTTGATAGCTTGTTTCTGATTGTTCATAAAATTAGGTTGTTGTTATACCCTACATTTAAGCTTAAAGCTTTTAAGGCTCAATATTTCGTGGTATTTCAACATGTTATTAGAAAAAGAGTGACTAAGAAACCTCGCAGTATTTTACGCATTTCTGGTCCTGGCATTAACTATTCAATAAGAAAACCATAATGTCAATTCAGGCTGAACACTTACTTAACTAGCATGGTGTTATATTTAAATACTATGTATCTTATGTTACTTTTTTGGCTAAAAAATGCATTTGACATTATTAATTATTTCTTGACCTTACAATGTATTGTTAAAGTCCTAGTGAATTTACTGCATAAAGCACCTTATTAATTAATTATGTAATATCTAGTTCATGGTAACTTTCATTAGTTTCATTTAAGACCCATAAAATTATTAATATGGATGCTTGATAGCATTATAAAGTACATTTCATACACTCTTTTAGAGCGCTAGAAGAAGAGTAACTTTTATTAGTTTCATTTAAGACCCATAAAATCATTAATATGGATGCTTGATAGCATTATAAATTACATTTCATACACTCTTTTAGAGCGCTAGAAGAAGAGTTTTAGGATGATTAGGGACAACATAATGCACTTCAATGGCTTTATAGGATTCACTTCAATGGCTTTATAGGATGTGCATGAGCATATTATTCACAATATTTGATTTTCACTCATAAATCTTAAGTGATGTAGGATATCTTAGGTTTCTGGTTTATAATGCAGATCTAATGTGAAAACATAATTATGTAAGAATACAAAATTCATGCTAGTCATGAATTTTTAACTTTTTAATAGTTATTCACTACTTTAGATAAAATATTTAAATATGAAGGAAATCAGTTCAAATGAAAATATAATGGCTTTAGAGTAGAAATAAAAAATATAAATTTTGTAACCAAGAAAACTATGCAATGAGTTGGAATATATGCATTTGTTAAAAAATCAAATTATATTAAATTGGAGCATAATCAATCACAATTTTAAATCAATAGCAAAAGTTAAAACAAGAATGGGCAGAAAGAAATTTTTTACAAAGCATGTTTATGCTCTTATGAAGAGATTGCTTCTCTCAAAAGTTTTCATTACTTAGATTAAAGAATTTACCCTTAGAAGTAGAATGATTTAGCACACCCAAGTCATTGAGAGTAATAAGTGATTTTCTTGAAGCCCTCTTAAAATTTCCAATATAACAAAAAAAAAAAAAAAGAGGAAGTACCAACGATAGAATTGTTATAACAGAGATATTTCTCCGAACTAATCACAACCTTGGCAAAGAAGCCATACACATGTAAAAGAGGAACCAAATATCCAAATAAAGAACATAATAATGCGTTACACAAGATGGTTTATGTAATGTTCAACTGCTTCAAACTTCCAGTTCGATCTAGTTTTCCCAACCATGATAGAAATTGAAGTAATTCCAAAGTTTTTTGATATTGCTTAATTATAGGTATTTATTCCAATATATTGCATGATTCTAGAATGTTTATGTAAAAAATTTTACTTTTTATACGGACATTTATATTCATCACTTGGTTTGAATTCCACATATCTTCGATTTCACATCTTTAATAAATTAAAACTAGCATTATTTAAAGTTAGTTTATTGTGAGTACTTTTATGCATTCCTACTAGTTATTGCTGAATATAATGATAATGCTAGGATAGTAATGCACATTTTAATGAATATAATATAACAAATTTTTGGAGGAGAAGATGATGAACCTAAAAAATTGCAAACCATTCTATCTTGATGTATATGTATGGATGAAGAACAAGAAAAGCTAACCCAACTGGCTTGAAGATTAGTTGTGCTGAATTAGTTTCTCTTTATCTGATCTTGACTTTTTAAATTTCAAGGTGAGAGCATTCATCATTAGTTTTTTTTTTTTTTTTTTTTTTTTTTTTTTTTTTTGTTTAAAATTTTGAAATTTTTAAATTTTCCTTTCTGATGATTCTTAGACAATTTCAATCTAATCCATAGATGTAATGTTAAATTTGGTAGATACTTTAGTATGAGTTGTGTTAGTAAATCATTTAGTTGATTCGTTAACTTCAACATGCATAACTTTGTTTAATTTGATTTCTATTAGAATTTCAAGTTTTATGTTTGATCTCATGCTCAAATTAAAATATCCAAATAAAAAACATAATAAAGGATAAGTTTGTAGATCTTGTTTTCATCTTTGCGTTACACGGGATGGTTTATGTAATGTTCAACTGCTTCAAACTCCCAGTTCGATTTAGTTTTCCCAACCATGATAGAAAATGAAGTAATTTCAAAGTTTTTTGATATTGCTTAATTATAGGTATTTATTCCAATATATTGCATGATTCATGAATGTTTATGTAAAAAATTTTACTTTTTATACGGACATTTATATTCATCACTTGGTTTGGATTCCACATATCTACGATTTCACATCTTTAATAAATTAAAACTAGCATTATTTAAAGTTAGTTTATTGTGAGTACTTTTATGCATCCCTACTACTTATTGCTGAATATAATGATAATGCTAGGATAGTAATGCACATTTTAATGAATATAATATAACAAATTTTTGGAGGAGAAGATGATGAACCTAAAAAATTGCAAACCATTCTATCTTGATGTATATGTATGGATGAAGAACAAGAAAAGCTAACCCAACTGGCTTGAAGATTAGTTGTGCTGAATTAGTTTCTCTTTATCTGATCTTGACTTTTTAAATTTCAAGGTGAGAGCATTCATCATTAGTTTTTTTTTTTTTTTTTTTTTTTTTTTGTTTTTTTTTTAAAATTTTGCACCTTTCCTTTCTGATGATTCTTAGACAATTTCAATCTAATCCATAGATGTAATGTTAAATTTGGTAGATACTTTAGTACGAGTTGTGTTAGTAGATCATTTAGTTGATTCGTTAACTTCAACATGCATAACTTTGTTTCAGATTCAGTAATAAATTTGATTTCTATTACAATTTCAAGTTTTATGTTTGATCTCATGCTCAAATTTTGATCCGTGCTTAAATTTTGGTTCATGTTTGTATTTTTGGACAACAATATTAAATATGGATTTGTATTATAATTTCAAACTCTTTTCGATATTTGATATTGCCTCAAAAGGATATTCATGAACTACAATTTTTTGGATCAAAATTTAAGTATACTTGATCTTTGTGTCGGAGCGGGTTTGACAAGTTTGAGAGGTGGTACTAAAGATTTTTCAACTAAGAGTGCTTTCATGGATCTTTGTGTTGGAGGGGGTTTGACAAGTTTGAGAGGCGGTACTAAAGATTTTTCAACTAAGAGTGCTTTCATGATTGGACAATAGCCATAAAGTCCCTTAAATATATATACAAAACCTCTTGTTTTTGTTTTTTTTTTGTTAAATTTAGCTTTAGTCATCATAAATTTTTTATCTAGACCATAATATAACACATAATAGTGATATAATGGTTTAGCACAAATACTAGCTGTGATATCAGAGTTAACCAAAAACCACAACGAAAGAATACTTTACTCTAAAAAGGGTTACATACACGACTCTTGAAAATAGGAAAAACAACGAAACTACACGACACAATTAGGGCGTAGACTGGGGTGGTGGTGCTGTGGTTGGAGGGATTGAATGAGGAGGATGGTTTGAGTTGGCAGCTTGGGTGATGAGGGCTGACCAGTTGCTGAAACAAGGAAGGAGGGGGTTTGTGTGGTTGATGATTGAAGGCAGGGTGGAAGCGGCTGGAAGTAGGGAGGCTGTGAGATAGTATGGTGGCCGCCGGCTGGAAGCAGGAAGGGCAGGCGCTAGCTAAAGGAGAGCCGGCATAAGAAGGATTGCGTGGGGGAATTAGGTAGAGGTCGTCACCATTTCGAAATAGGATACAGCTGGAGCACCATCTGTTCTCGAAACAACCCTAATAATGGAAAATGCCTGGAGGCAGAAATCTGAAATCATAAAAATAAGATCAAGCCGTAACTCAACAAACAACATATTTGTAATAGGTAAATAAGAGGAAGGGGGAAAGGGGCAACAGTTCCATCCCAATAGCTAGCCGACTATAGACTCTCTTTTTTATATTTCTACTCTTCATTTGGGAATCTACTTCTTTTTTTTCAATTTAAGTTGGGATCCTTTTTTCTCTTATTTTATTCATTTTGAGCTCAAAGACAGGTGCCACAGTCACCTATATCTGCCAACTCCTTTCCTTCAGGTTAAAAAAATATTATTATCTTAAATTTTAGATTGATTTTACTTCATCTTGCTTTCAGACTGAATTTATGGTGGATATGACATGTGAAGGTTGTGTCTCGGCAGTGAAGAACAATTTGCTAAAGCTTGAAGGTGGGTAATCATGCTTCAAAAATCTGTAAACAAATTTTGGGTTGATGTCATTAATTCTTGTGTTCTTGTTTTTTCATAAGTTATTTGTACCCCTGTTTTTTGTTATCAGTTAATCTATATACTTTTTTATTGTGAGGGGCTTTAATCAAATCTTCCCACAATCTATTTCATTTATATACTCGCCAATTGGCAGGGGTTAGAGGTGTTGAAGTGGATTTGAGCAATCAAGTAGTAAGAGTTTTTGGTTCCACTGCCGTGAAAACAATGCTTGATGCTCTAGAGCAAACAGGTCGAAATGCACGATTAATTGGACAAGGAAACCCAAATGGTAAGTTTTGATGATTATGCAGCTGTTTGCTTCAATGTTAACTTGTTTGTAATGCAACGGATAGCAATACTATTTGTAAAGTATTGTTTTTAATAAATGTATTGATGTATGCCAGGGGAAATTAGGTAAATTGTGGTTGTTTTTGTTTGAATGGAAATAATTGAACATGATGGGTGAGAAGTTGGAAGAAAAATAGTTGGATTTTTGGGTTCACTCAATTAAGATATAAATTCATGTTTTACTAAAAACTCAAACATGGTTAAATGCATCCAGTTAGGCTAACCTAAGCTAATTCAAGGGGATCAAAACTTTGGATCTTTTTAACATGACTAGGACAAACCTAACAAGCCTTGGATTAACGCTGATCTCTATGGATTGGGTTAAACTATAGTCAAACCTGGCCTAATAGAGCAAAGTCCTTAAATCACTTAATCCAAAGGATATCCAATCCTGCTGCTTGCTCTACGGCTCATCTGGAACGACTCAACATCCCGTTGGACCCTTCACTTTAGTCTTGTCTCATGCTTTTAAATACAAGTCCTATCATATTTGATGTTGTTGTCTTTAGCTTTAATTTCTTTGAGTATCCCTTATGTTAGGATTGCATTTTGTTAAGGGGGCATTTACATACATAGCGCACAATTCTTATCTATTTACATATCTCACACCTAAACTTTCGTATTTTCTCACTTAGCACTCAAATCCTTAATTTCTTATAAAAAATAGCACTATTACCACTTCCATGAAGTGAAATACACTTTTTCATGTATTTGTTTTGTGGAAAGCAAGGATGGTGGACCGACCAACCACCTCATAGATCTTGAGAAATCTAATTGGAGACAACTTTGAAAAACCTCTTGCTTAGTTTTATTCTCTTCATATTTATATTTATTTATGTTTTTTTCAGAATTATTTTCTTTCCATATTTGTATTAGATATATATGGTAAGTTTGCAATTAAGGAGAGAATGCTTTTCCTATATATGTATTGTACATGTGAATGATGAAAGTAAGTAATTTTCTTCCAAAGCTTTATTTTTAACATGGTACGGAGCCGTGAAACAAATCCTAGCTTCCCTGCCGCCGGAACCTCTCCAATCTCCTTTGCCGGCCTATAGGCCCTCTAGAAATCTCCTCTTTCCTACAGCTAGCACTCTTCCTGTAGATTGCAAGCCCTCACCTGCTCTTCCCTGCAGATGATACTCTTCTTGCAGACCCTTCTTTGTTCACCTGTGCTGCCGAAATGCTCTCTACAACCGGAATTCTCCAAACTGCAGGCCCTCCTCCGCCAAATTCTTCATGCAAAAACCTGCTTTGTTAAACTTTTGTTATCCAAACTGCAGGCCCTCCGCCGAATTCTTCATGCAAAAACCTGCTTTGTTAAACTTTTGTTGCCAGATTCTCCATGCAATCCCTGTTGTAGGCCCTCCTTCGTAAACCTCCTAAAATACTAGCAGCTACAGCAGCCTGCTCCTTTCCTGCAGCAACCAATATTCTCCTTGAAATAGTAGCAACCAATTTCTCCCCGCAGCAAGCAGCAGCTCTAAACACACATAGAGTTTATGACCAAGTAAAGGATGAAGACATCGAGTTTGGCTCTAGAGGTTATTTCTGAATAAGAGATCGGGAACTTTGTCCAAACGACTCCTGAATTCTCTATCGTTATCACAAATCATAAACTCAATGCTCATAACTTCCTTCAATGATTCTAATCAATGTTTATGTATATTTATGGAAAAGGAAATGAGGAACAATGATAGGAAACATAATTTCTCACAAAAAATTTAGGGCGAATCAAATATTTTCTTTAATTCAAAACAATACAAATAAAAAGATAAGCAACTATAATTCGAGAGGTAGGCGACCTCTCCCAATTTCTACAACTCGAGAGGTAAGAAATCTCTCCTGAATCCTAACCCTGATTCTCAAAGACAATAATCTCATGCATAATCCCAACCCTAAGCATATTATCCCCATTTATACTAAACAATAATAAATAATAAAAGACTACATTGCTTTTAGGCTAATAAAAGACAAAATAACCCTTAGGTCAGTCATCGATATAACAATACTCCCCTCTAAAAAAGGCACATTGTCTCAAGGTGGAAAAAATTATTGTTGAATCAAGTCGTGTGACTCCCGCTCGTAAACTAGTTCGAGTCTGATTCTCCCTGTCAACTCTCGTACAATTGTCGTAGTCATCACATTCCCCCACTAAAAGTTATCTTTCTTCAATTTCTTCTTTCATGACCACGCCATCTAATTATAACCCATCACATTTTCGATAGTATTCTGTAAGTTCCTCAAACCTTCTCAATCCCTTCTTGGTCATAGGTAGTGGCCCCTCCAACCTATTTGCCACTTTCGATGGATCGGTTGACACCAAGGTTTTAAAAACTGGACCGAACCAGTATTTTCAACTGGTTTGGACCGCGAACTTGGTCCAGGGCCAATTTGGTTCAGCTAAAATTAGTGTGCAACATTGAAACGGTCAAAAAATAGGTCGATCCGCTAGTTCAACCACTGAACTGGTGAACCGTTTTCCGGTCCAAATTTTTATAGCTAGCTTGTTGAGTTTGAAATTTTGTGTAGGGTCCAAACCAATTTTTTTTTTTGCTAAGCTATAAGGCCTAATGAATAATATAACAATAAAATAAACATATTATGTCATGGGCCTACCTATCCAACAAAGTGTCCAATTGTTTGGAATTATTGAACTTTGTTTCTACTTTCTAGATCTTTTTTTTAAAGATCAACTGGTGAATACATATTTGAGATGTGGGACTAAAAGTATTGCAAGCACAGGGAAAATTTTTTTTAGTTAGAGTCACAAATATTACACTTGAAGCTTATTTACTATTAAATTTGATATATTGATTTACATAATGAAAT